GCCATCGGTTTCTTCGGTGAATTTTCCTCCTTGCACAGTGATAGCTCCACAGTCAGCATTGCCATCACTAGGATCCAGTGAAGTTTCTCCGAAATCAAGTTGCAAAGTATGCTTACGCGTCTTTCTTAATTGATCTGATGAAGAGAAATTACAAGCTTAAACATGCTTTTTGGCCTTCATTAGTGTCCCCCAAAATTTTTTTGTGAGTCCTCACTTCACCAACTCGGTGGAGAATTTTTTTAGTCTTCTTGAGATTTTGTTTGTCCGAAGAACTAACTGCTTACCTATCACCGTTTTTGTTAGACTAGACCATAGAATATACTTCAGTCTTCCAGGCCACGATTTTGTTTTTTTTTTTCATTGTTTTATTTTGGAGCACGGTTTCAAGGTTGCTACTTTTGAGTTGATGAGTAGAAAATTCATTTATCTATTTACGTCTTCATTCTCTCCTAGCCACTTCAATCATCGTCTTCGGTACCACAATCTCCTCTGAAAAGCAAATGCGACAGTGAACTACCCCCGGTTGGCGGGTCTTGCCAACTCCCGAGTCATCAGTGGCGACCGATCATCGCCTCCACCGCTTCCACTACCCCTGGAAGTACTTCCACTAAGGAAAATGAGCAGAGTTCACAGAAGGCGCAACCACGTTTCATCCTACCTAATACCTCGCGCCCATCATTTGAGGTATCTCTTGCCAAACAAACCTTTCTTGTACCGATTAACAACCCCTCCGGCGGTGCCGGGTCTCTCTTACTCCTTCCTCTCGCTGTGGCGGCAGCTTTGCAACACCAGAAGCAGCAGCAACAGCAGGGACCACCGCCTACTGCACTACTCGCCTCATTGCCCGGCACTGGTGTCTGTGGTGCCACTCAGTTCCTGCTCATTAGAGCAGCCGACACGCCGAAGACCACTTCTGCTGGCGTTATTCCCTCCAACAAAAGTGTGTCCTTATATTTTGAGTCGTAACTATTTCTTGTATTGTTAGAAGGATTGTTATCAAATTTCCTCTCAATTTTAAAATACTTGGTTGCATTTCGTGACTTGTTTTCTTCAATGTACGTTGCCTTTTTCAGTCCCCATTCTTTTTTCCTTAGCAGTGTTAATGCTTGTATCGAACACTTTTCGAAACTGCTCAAAACGACCCGATATTTCCGTTTGTCTTTTTTTTAAACCGATTTAAATGTGTATGCTCCAAATCTACAGCGTAGGGCTTGGGAAATTTTGTGTTGCGCCTGCTAAAGTTTTAAGACTGTGACTGAATATGTTTCATCCGACATTCCACTCTGTCTCATCAGATGCACTGTAATCACTTTTCCTTATCGGTTTCGCGTATAAAATTTGTCTTATTTCTCTTTGTTGTT